GTACGTGCTTGCGTGTCTTCTCCACTGACCGCACTCAGTAACAAGCTGCAAAGAAAGGAAATGTTTTAATAAGATAAAAAAGTGATTTCAATCATTTCCCAAGGCAGGATGCATGACAAATGATACTGAGAATTATTTTATACAAATAATTTATTATGTCTTTTATATATAATATCAAGGGATATGATCATGTTATACAACATTTGCCTTCTAATATACTGTAGATATACAGGTGGTGCAGTAAAACATTAATGTGCTTACCTTTCTGGTGTTGTAATGTTATCCAGATCATCAACCACCATTACCTCTCCCTGTACTTTTTTAGCCTCTTCTTCAGACTCTTTCCGCGCTTCTTCCGTCTTCTCCTCCGCCATATCCAAGTACTGTTTCACAACATCTTCCAGTGATTTTACATTCATCTAAACAAATTAGTAAGTATGGTTCTCAATCTTTGTTTGCATGAGTTCAGAAAGTGTAATTACAGAAAAAAACAAGTGATGATATTAGTCGATTAGCTACACTCCTCCATAAATTGATTATTGTTAATGCTTCTTTAAATGAACACCATGTACAAACTAAAAAAAAAAAAATCGCTCCAATAACACTTATGACCATGGCAACACTCATATGCTTGTCTTCATTCATTGGGGACATGGAGTTTTTCACGAAAGTATTTACTATACACACATACAAGTAAGCAATGAAATGTTTATTTTTCAACTCAAGTAGAATAAATCTTATCTTGTATTTAATGTTTTCATCCTCCTACTATCCTTCTAGGTCACAAGAAAGAAAATTATAGATTTTCTTCCTACGCTTTATCCTTAATTATTAAAAAGAGGGGTGTGGGGGCTGGGTGAAGGTCTTCCTGGCCTCTATAATTGTGCAGCTAGCTTGGGGGTTAAGATGCAAAGAAACAGTATTTCTTTGCTGTTTGCTGTGATAGTTCTTCCAATTTGATTGATTAAATCACTACAATTTGTGGGGCAATATACAAGCCTAGTCAGCAAAACAGAATGCAAAATTATTATTTCGGCCCAAGCCCAACGGAAAATATTATTTTCGGCTTGCTCTCGCAGGCCGCATAACACACACCAGCGGCCCATGTGAGGGAAATTATAAAGAGATTTACCTGTTGACAAATGATCTTGTACTGGTAAAGGCCTTCCTTGGCAGTGTGGCTTTTACGAAGCTCGACACACAAGGTCAGGTACATCGTCATTATCGGTTCATGGATCTTCTGCCAAGTACGATGCTTTTTGCTTTTGATGACATCATACAAGGCATCCAAAGCAGGCTGCTTCTTACCAACATCAATAAACTCTGAGTAGTAGATGTAAATATGCAAAATATTTTAGTTAATTATATACCTTATAAATACTCGAGTATAAATACCCTCCATGTTTGAGAAGGTTTTTGGAGGATATTTGTATATATATAAGATGACCCTGTTTCACCGTTAGAATTCCTACATTTTGCTGCTTTTTTATGGTGTTGATACTTCATCTAGCTGGTCAACTGTAGGTCCAATCTTCCAAATAATACCGCCATTCATTGCATTCCTTCATACTAATAGTTTATAGTAGCTTCAATTCAGTAGCAAATTTGCGTGTTACAGACGATCTGCACATAGACAAACATCATTTAAAATAAAATTTGTATGTGTTGAGCGTACTATAAGATGACCCCTGTTTTTTGATCGTAATTTTCTATTTTAAGCCTTGTCTTAAATATGAGAATATATACGGTACAATATATTAAAATGATGTACCAGTGTTACTATCACCAAATTCAACAATACACAGTCAGTATTAAAAATTGCTGTGTTTCCGCTTGGCCAACCCGAAATAATCACTATCAAATAATAGTAAAAGGCATTAAAATCACTTTGAACCAATATTTCAACAGAAGGCCTACTTACTGTACTGTGTGGCAAAATACGACTTTTCTATTTGGAAGAAGAGTAGGCCTAGGCCTAGTATGAGGGCTTAGGCTAGGTCATTACTTTAGCTAGGTATGTGACTATCAGCCGTTGTGAGAGCGATATTGTGGCACCGCTATCATTTTTGCCAGCAACTCGACTGTTGTTTTCGCTGCAGAGGTCGTTTTTATTTTTTCCCTGTGACCCGAAAATAGTAATGACGTAGTTCACATGTTCTTCTTTCACCTAGTCATCAAATCAGTTTTTTCCGACTTAAGTGTATTTACTGCCGAAAGTTTGAGTTTTTAAAAACATTCAATCTTTTTAAAGAAGTTAAGTTTATTTTGTTCTGAAACCAGTTTATTGTGTTAGTTTATATATTTATCTACATCTGGGTGTAATATTTAGATAATCTGAATACCGAAACCTAGTTTTTGACCGAAAATAAAAAGTGTGTTGTGAATGGAAATTTTCAAAATTTTTCAAAACTGTTCGTGCAGTGCAGCGTGAGCGGTCATGCATGTCTGGTCTTGCCTGATCGCACATGACAACATGTTTATATACACAGTCACTACTGATTTTATGTTATGTTTTATCCAAGTTTATATTGTTCTGAAACCAATTTAATTTTAATTATATCAATACTTAATATGTAATATATGTATAATCATATTTTGATGAAATAAAAGTGGGACGACCATAAGAAAGGAAAAAAAAATATTTTCAATGAAGGGTAGGAAAGGAGGTAGGGTGGGGTCGGGTGTCTTCAGGGGTGGGGGTCAGAACACCCCTACATATGCCACTGCTTTTGTTCTCCTTGTGTGCTTTCAATGTCTTTTTCATTGAGGCATGTGTAAAAAACGTTTTAAAACATTATGGCATATTATAATTATTTGTAATTAATTAATTTTAATGAGTTTTATAATGCTTATTTTGTCCATTGTGTGCTTACAAATGCTTTTATTTTATTAAGAAATGTATAGAAACAAAAAAGTTAGAGCATTTTTTGTACGTTTTCAAGAACAATGTCACAAACTTCTCCATTGTTTACATAGGATTTGAAGTACCAAAATTAGGCATTATATTATCTCTTAAATTCTGTAACTTTGCTGATATTTGACGGATGACAATGATCTTGGTATCAATTTAATTCTATACTAATACTCTTTCAAATGATACCAGCTGCAAAGCAGTGGTGGCGGCAGAGGGGGGCTGGGGGCTATAGCCCTCCGTCAGGCAGGTCCTGGCGCCATCACTGCTGCAAAGAAATTGCTTGAATTTGAAATTTTGTGTCACTAACCTACTTTAGCGCCACAAAAATTAAACACACAGCATACAATTGCACTGATCAAGGAGTTTCTAAATAGAAATAGACTAGGGCTTAGGACTACACTTAGCTAGTAGGTAGACTAGGCCCTAGCTAGGCTGCAGCAGCAATATAAAAGTAGCCTAGGCCTAGCTCGCCTAGCCTAGCTCTATAGGGATAGCTAGGCCTAGGCTAGAGGGCCTAACGAATGTGGCTGCTATAAATAATAATAAATTGTTTATTTCTGCCTTACCTTTTGCTCTTTTAAGAGCATTTTCAGGTTTTTGAAAATATATAGGCATAGTGATATGTCTAATTTAACCAAAGTGCGACCCAATAATTGTAGAAATTGCTTTAAACATTCAATAAACAGGTCTGGATGCCCTCACCACATGGAGGAACACCTCTGAAAGGAAGATGGCGGAATAATCATTCCCTGATTAAATAGATTATAGAGGGCGATATTGTATTGGCTTTGAGGCTTTGACAGAGCCATAGATAGAAAGAGTTGCGACATTGAGAATTTAGAAGCCATTGTGTTTCCAACCCGATTCGCGTTCTGTCGTGATGTCACTATAAAAACTCCCTGCGATGGCAAGCATTCTTCATTTAGACAATCCTTAAGTGGCTCCTGTTATTTTTGCAAATAAATGATATGTGACGACCAGAAAAAATTAATTAAACATGTATATCAAAATGTAATTAAAATCCGTATATATATGGTATATAGATTGTTGCTCTTTAAATTTGAATATGAGCGAGCCCTATACAAATCTTATGTTATTAATTTGATTATTATTATTTATAAATATTAAAATAGTATAGGTCAGTTGGCCGCAAGATTATAAAACATCACCTTTATTTTCATTGTCATTCGTAGTTATACAGGCTGTACAAACAATTGAAATTAAAAAGAACAATTTTTAATATTGTTTAGCGAACAACTTTTAAAGATCGTCAGAAACGGGCGAAAAAAAATTTTTTTTTACTTATTTAGCTTAAATATTTTGCCGAACGCATGAGAAAATTTAAAAAAAATTTTAATGATGAACGTAAACAGTGTAATAATGTAATTGATAAATGCTTTAAATTTATATAATTAAGGAAGATATATATATATATATATAAATAAAAATAAAATTTTAATGATGAACGTAGACAGTGTAGGGGAACGAAGAGCGTAATAAAATACATACTTATTAGTTAATTTACATTTTTCGTAGCCAAAAATAGAATTACATTTTTATTCGAAATCACCATTATTAGGTTCGCTAATCAAGATATAAAAAAAATCTTGCCTAAACATCTTTAATATGCAATGTACGTTTCACATATACTTTGCATGTGTTCATCGGGAAGATTATGACACAAAATGGACGGTGTGTACCACGTGACTTTCGCAAGAAGCGGAATGTCGCAACTCTTTATCGCTTAGCTGACCTGTCAGGCTGTCAGTAATCAGTATTTATCGGAGCCTGGTCGAGCTATAACGAGCAGAACAACCGTCAGTGAGTTCGTTGTGACAAGGGTAGGTAGGGGTAGATTACACCATAGTGATTATACAAGGGCTGCTGGCCCTGGACTCGTAATATTTCATAGATAGAAAGCTGAGCTAGCTAGGCCCTAGAGAGGCTACCGCCCAGAATCGCCTGTTTTCTAATAATACAGTTTGCCCTCAAATTCAAGACCACCTTTGGGACCTGAAAATATAATTATATAGGGTGGTCTCGGCGGTCAGTGCCTAAGGCCTAGTGGGTTGCTTTGTGTTACAAGATTGAAGATTGTTATTTTGTTCTCTGAATAAGAAAGAGGGGTCTGAATTAGAAGAAGGTGCACTCAACTGTATCATGTATTATGTAACCTAGTTAGGCCATCCTAGAGGGGAGCCTAGGCCTTATTATTGTAGCCTTGGCCCCTAGCAACAAATATGAATGTCATCTTGATTTTGACATTTTAACAAATTAGAATACTGTAGAGTATGGCAGTACCAACATACACTATCTCGGTAAGGACACAAACAAAAAATTATTAGATTATCACTCTCTTTTTTTTAATTGATGAGGGAGGGCGTTTTTTTGTTTAGTTTTTGTTAATATGTTGTTTTTTTTTTAATCGGAACAATACAGTACATTATTTCACTTTTGTTTTTATCGCTGAGGGAGTTGAAATAATTGATGCAGTAAAACAAATTTTATTTTTATTTCTGCATCAATATTTCCCGATTTTTTGACGCGGGACGGAGTGATAATCTAATAAATTTTTATATTTGCTGTAATGGTGAACATCCCTAGCTGTTGCCAACCTAACCTTCGTTATTGTTACCAAGATAGTGTACCGGTACCGTATCTCTGGACACATTGTTACCAACTCGTATCATACAGCTATAATTTGAAGTTAGGCCTATGTTGAAAGTTTTGTTACTTAATTGCAGTCATCAACAACTGTTTGAAATACAACCATGGCAGACATCAAGCTGCGAGCCAATCAGAGAATGCAAGCAAGTGATGTAAACGACAATGAAGAAAAAATGCGTCTTAATAACACAAGTCTACAGGAGCTGAATAGGAAAGTGAGGGAGAAGATTGGAGAGTTGAGTTGGTGGCAGTGTTACGGCGTTGATTGGGTCGTTATCCTTTTTATCTACAGCCTCCTGCCAATGAGTTTATATTTATTCACTTCGACCAGCCTTGTTTCATATGGAATAGGAATTGTATGCCTTGGAATTGTCCATGGAGTAAATGCCACTCGTTGCTCTCATATGGCAGCCCACAATGGACTCTGCAGATCAAAATCCTGGAACATATTTTGGCGTTACTTCTTCTGCGAGTTTTGCAGTTTGTTCTCAGTTGAACTCGGAATGGACATCCATATAAAAGTGCACCATCCTCATACTAATGTCATCGGTCTTGGCGATTCAAGTTCTTGGCGTGTTCCAAAACTTTCACGGACGGCCTATATGTTTATCGCTCCTCTGCTGCTTCCGTTACTCTCGCCTTTTATTTCAATTAGTCGGCTAGTGTCTAGCGGGAAAAACAAGGCGGCCATAAAGTGTGCGCTAGTCATGATTTGTGGACTCGTTGCCTTCATATACATTCTACAAGTCTTTTCTGGAATGTCCGCTAGAAAAGCTTTCCTTACGATTTTTGCATCACGAGCTCTGACGAGCCCATCATACATTCATGTGAATATATTCCAACATATTGGAATGCCAATGTACTCCCAGCAGAATCGACCGCCAAGAGCTGTGTTGATGTCAACTGGTGTCCTGAATCTCAATGGAGCGTGGATCCTTGACATCATCTTCGGACATTCCTTAATAAGTTGCCATCTGGAGCATCATCTCTTTCCACATATATCTGATAACATGTGCCGGATTGTCAAGCCCCTCGTCAGGGAACACGTCCTACAGAATGGTTTACCATACAATGTGGATTCTTACTGGAATAGGCTAAAGTTGTTTTACAAACAGTATGATAGACTTATGGTCAACGCTCCACCCATTACTAAATATGTGGGTATTCAATAATCTTGTTGATGTGTGATAGTTATGCGATATTAAAAATATAAACTCATTAATGTGCTTTATTATTATATATTTAAATCAATTAATTAAACTTTAAATTATGCATAGTATTAATAATTTGAGATATTTCAATTTATTTTTGAGTGTAAAACGATTGCACTACACTTCATAAGGCCTAAAAAATAAATTGTTTGTTTGCCCTTTAATGCTGAAAATTGTATAGGAGGGGCGGATGCAAAAAAGTTTTTTTTGGTGGGGTTTTTTTTTCTCCTGTCAACAAAATTAACATTAAATCGTAATGCTTGCAATTAAGCCTGTCTCACTATTTGTTTTTCAAAGGGTATTCATCAGACTGAATAAAAATAACCCATAATCGATATTTTGCAATGAATTTAGGCCTAGAATGGTGATACCTTACATCAGACACCCAATTTAGAACCATTTCATGTGCAAAATTGAGAAAAATAAATATCACTTTTTAAAAATTTGTGAAAAAAAATCCTATTTTTTAAAATGCTGCCCCTAATTTTACGTGAGCTGGGGACGGGCACTGGAGGGAAAACAAACAATTTTTTTTTAGGCCTAATGGTTGCTCTACTGAAGGCAGTAATGTTATTCCATAATTTCATTGTGTTCACAGGTGAATTGAAACTTAGCATTAGAAAATATTTGGAGATGTAATATAAAATTTTTAATGACCAAACCTGGTGTTATTCATTAGCAAATGTGGTATAATTCATAAGCAATCTTGGTGTAGTTTATGACCAAACCTGCAATAATTCAAGAGCACATGGTATAATTCCAAGTGCAAACCTGGTATAAATCCGAAGTGCAAACCTGGTATAAAATTCCAAGTGGTAACTTGGTATATTTCCAAGTGCAAACCTGGTATAATTCCAAATGCAAACTTGGTATAATTCCAAATGCAAACCTGGTATAATTCCAAATGCAAACTTGGTATAATTCCAAGTGCAAACCTGGTATAATTCCAAGTGCAAACCTGGTATAATTCCAAGTGCAAACCTGGTATAATTCCAAGTGCAAACCTGGTATAATTCCAAGTGCAAACCTGGTATAATTCCAAATTCAAACTTGGTATAATTCCAAGTGCAAACCTGGTATAATTCCAAGTGATAACTTGGTATATTTCCAAGTGCAAACCTGGTATAATTCCAAATGCAAACCTGGTATAATTCCAAGTGCAAAACTGGTATAATTCATTGAGCAAACTTGGTACATGATTGGAACAGTGGTTAATTTTTAAGAGCTTTATATAACATTTAGTCATAATAACACTTTACACTCGACAATTGTGAGCACTCAATTAATTTGGCAGTATTAGAATTTATTGGACAAATATGTTTTCATAATTTTATAATATAATCGGTATTGTATCAAACCACAGGGCCATAGTAAATTCAGAGACAGACCCAATAGTTTGAAATAGAGAGTCCCACGAAGGGACTTCCACAGATAGAGGCCCCTGTTGAATCCGTCACTGAATTTATACAGAAGCTTAATGATATATGCTTATATAAACATTTAGAATATGTATACAGTATATAGAACATGTAGAATATGTACTGTATCTGCTTCATTATTTGTATCAACATGTTTATTGATATTTTGTTCCTAAAGTACTTGATCACCTGACCTTGCTAACTATGACAGATTAAAACTCCCATTGTGTTCTGTGCTGTTGCAATCAAATTCTATAAAGGTAGGGGAACTTGTAGCATGATTCTGAAGTCCAACTCATAACATTTCAATTGGTACACATCTGCGTTTGTATTAGATATCCGTCTATTTTTTGTTTGCGATTTTAACCTTTGACCAAAAAGTTAGTTACCACAACATTTTTTAATTGTAATAGTCTTATTTATGCAATATTTTTAATATATGATTCACAGTTAAGATAGATATATTAATATGTCATGTTTCAAAACGAAACATCTCTGATCAGTTATCTAATATGTACAAGTATATAATTATATGCGTTATGAGATGTATTAGTTTCAGTGTTTTGATTTCTTCTCACGGTCTGTTGTACTGTGGTTTTATGCAGGTCTTGTGATATAACGTGCGCCCTCTATACTGTCTTACGAAAATCGCGTTTGTTGAGGACGATATTAATTTTGCGTGATTGAAACCGCCATTATTAAATATTTAAAAAATCTACTCAAGTGAAATGCAACTGTCTCGATGCATAATATTGTAACTCGCGTAATTAAAAGCAATTAAATGTTACTCCAATTAAATGTAAATCATCAAAGAATATCCTAATATAATTATACCATTATGAGTGGACTATATAATATTAGCTTTCCGATATAGGCCTATACATAATTATGCCATTAGTTTAATTTTAAAAAAACCACCATGATTAAACATAAAAAAAATGTCTACTCTCTATTCGTGGTTTTCCATTTCTGAAGCCGCTCATTCAGGTGGACCCAAAGATGGACGTGCCCCTGTTTTGCTACTGCCGCCTGTTTCTACAAAAAGAAAACATATACAAAATGTGTACAATGTTTTGTAACAGCATAAATTGTACAGTGGACCGTATTCGCGCGAATAAGCGCCCCGTTTGAATAAGCGCCCCTCCTAACATGAACATTTCCTTATGCACCCCGTTTAAATAAGTGCCCTGTTTGAATAAGCGCCCTCAGGAAGTGCAAAAAAATATTTTAAGCGCCCGGGCGCTTATTCGCGCGAGTACGGTACACATTTTAACATTATTAAATACACTGTATAAAGCCGGTTTTCCACCAGGCGAATTTATTCGCGCGAATCGAAAGTGTCGGTTCATACGCATTCAGCATTCACATTCCCTAGTATCGGAGTTTTTGCGAAGCGAATAAATGCGCAACCAATCAGAGCACAGGAAGCGAACCGACGCTTTGATTCGCTCGAATAAATTCGCCTACTGGAAAACCAGCTTCATCTAAAATTAAATCCTGCAAGGACTGAAAGTTTAAATAACCATTGATATTGCCCTCTTTCTCATCATATGGAAGAGGATAGCCTGTTTGACCAATATATTCTGTATTATTATAATGCAGAATACTATATTGCAAAAGTAATTTCCGTACAATCGCATCACAGTTGCGTCGCTACAGCGTCGTTTTCATTTCTAGTTTTCACTGTAACCCTTGCACTGCGTAGCTGTCCCCGACTCAATCGGGAACGCGCCCTTATTCAACTGACCAATCAGCGTCGCCAAAAGAGTCTACGATACCGTGTAGCGATTTTTATGGAAAACCAAGCTTTAACATTCACTGATCTTTTTATTTAGAATGCAAAAAAAAGGGGGCATTTTCGGACATTAAGAGGTGTAGTATTTTTCCTGAGACAGGGCCCCGAAGATCCTTAAAGGCTCGATTTCCATACAATCGCTCACTACTACTGCCCCAGGTAAGGCAGTCGACACAGAAACTGCTTCATTTCTATGCTGTCGCCCTCACCTGGCTCTTCGTGCCCCTTGATTTTATGAATTATCTACCCTTGCTGTGCTCATGAATAGTTTGCTTTACATTTTTTATGTAATGGAAAGGGAATGGCATGATTTATAGGGAAACCTCGCAAACTTGTGACAACGATAGCGAATATGAATACGTCATCTTCATTATTGTCATTCGTGCCTAAAACCTTAACAATCGTTAATTCATATAAAAGTCATGGATCTCCAACGTTGTGACAGATATGTTAAAAATACTGTTGAGATGGATTGACTAAAGACATTATGACGTAACCGTAATCGTTATTGTTTTCGTGAACTTGTGAAACCTCTCTAATTGAATTATAATACGGTACCTTCCAATATAAGGACATGTAATCTAATTAATTCCTCATATTGGAAGGTACCGTAT